CCCCGCCCCAACACACACACACTGGTCATACCTACTGACACATGAGCAGCACAAAATACCAAGAATTTACCTGGGTGGCGAGAACATGCTCCCAGTTAGCGTTTGGAGAGACACAGCAGAGGCCATTTCCATGGTAATTCATACCCCCCCCCCTTCTCTACCTGCAGCATAGAGGAACTGAGAGATCACTTGCGGTCCTGACATGGAGACCCTAAAGATGGCCCAGCTACCTGACACACTGAAGTTAAAGGTCAAACAGTATGAAAGCCGTGTTCCTTCTGCCCCCCCCCACCCCAGCCCATTACAGGCCGCATGATACCCAACACTACATACATCTATTATCAGTCACTCCCAGGCTTGAACAGAGAATTGGATGATGCCCAGTTACCAAACATCTCTGAAGGAAAAAGTCATAGACTTTTAGCCAGCATTCCTGCTGCACCCCCCCCTTCCCCTTCAGACCTTTTACAGAGCACATGACACCCCCAGGCTAAGATTCTGGGTGACACGTTGCTCCAAAACAAACATCCACAACATCCAAATACCAGTTACATAAATATGCATTCCCAGTCAGTCCCAGGTCTGAACCAAGGACCACAAACACAAAGGCACAGACTTCCAACGCCCTGAGTGACACAGACGCAGGATAGGTCCCTGTGCTTGTAATCGGAAGGTTGCTGTTTCAAATCCCATGGCTGACAGAATGATGTCACCATTGGGTCCTTGAGCACTCCAGAGAATCAGGGTTGCCTACTCCTACCTTAGTGTGAAAATCTCTGCCCATCCATTCCATGGGCTGCTATTTTACCTCAACTCAACATCAATACCCAACCTGAATGACAGAACTTCCCACCAGCACCTTCCGACACCTAATGGGAAGCCTTTGCAAAAGACTGATAGAGCAATAATGAGCCGACCACCTTTATATCACTACTCTTGGTTGTGGAATGAGAAGTTGGACAAGCTGGCGTCCATTTGGCCCTGAAGTGTAAAATCATAGCAATAATTTAAACATAATTTTTATTGGCAGCCTAAAGCTTTTGCACAGTACTATATATACTCTTCATAACATCTCCATTTACACCATTAAAAGAGCTCTGCTCCTTCTGGGGGTGAAGTCAGGTAATGTGGGTCGTTAGTGTCCTGCTGGGGTCCGACACAGGCCCCAGGGATTGAGGCCCAGTTGTGGCGCCCAGCCTGGATTCTTGCCATTCTTGCCATAACTCAGTCCTATCAAAGCGGGAGCGAAATCAGACGGCCTTCCCATTGGGCGGCTCGCTCTGAGCGCACGCCATGGGTATGAGCGGAATGCCAGGTCGCGGCTGATCACACGAGCTGCGCTTCTGGAGCAAAATGCTGAGTGTTACCCCAGGTTCACTTTGCCCTTTTTCTGCTCCTTCAGCTCACTTCCCATCAAAAAAAAAGCATACAAGTACGACAACCTTATTTGCTAACAACTTAAAACCTAAAATAGTTCTAAAATAATAAGTCTAAAATTGCTTCTAAACTATTTAACTGTGTTCCGCATAGCAAACTTGCTTTTTTAATGTCCCTCATTCATGTGCACCCCAATGGTCATATGACCCCCCTTGCCCCATACTGGTCATACCTACTGACACATGGGCAGCACAAAAATTCAATAATTCATTTACCTGGGTGGCGAGGACATGCTCCCAGTTAGCATTTGGAGAAACACAGCAGAGGCCATTTCCATGGTAATTAATACCCCCCTTTCCCCCCACAGCAGAGAGGAACTGAAAGGTCACTTGCGGTCGTGGCACGGAGACCTTGAAGATGGCCCAGTTATGTGACACACCTGAAGCGAAAGGTCAAAAGACTTTAAACCGGTGTTCCTGCTGCCCCTCCCCCATTTCCTGACCAATTACAGAGCTGCCCAGAGCATTTGGTGCTCAGCCAGACTCATGCCAGCAGGCCAAGGTGTTCAGCTGGTGCTCAGTTTGGGAAACCAGGCGGAATTAGCAATGCACTATGGTAAAATGTGCAGTCGCGAGGACTGTTTTAAAATAACTTGTGTCAGGTTGACAGCTGTGGGTGTTAAAAACCATAGAATGCTGCTGACAAGATTTTTAGGGCCGGCCCCTGTGTCATGCGACCACTGTCACCATTTGGGACCATTAACACTTACAGGTCTCATAAGGGTAGACGGCCCGGTCACCGTTCCCAGTCTCTTATCTCTTGGCCAGGAACAGGACGGTGGTGGGGGAGTGGGGGGCATGGCGGGGGCTGTTAGCACTCTAGACGAAACCAAAATACAAAACATGATGTCTCCCCGTGATATTGGGCTGCCCCACCCACAAGGGTATTTTCTTTCTGATTGCAAGATGGTTAAAGTTATCGCTTCAGGGCTCAGGAATGTCCAAATGATGCTTAAATAGCGTGGACAGCCACATCAATTTGTGCGCATTTGTGAGTATGTGATGATCAGGGACCTACAAGATAGACCCACCAAAGAAAAATCACTGCCAGACTAATGATGTCTGGGACTGAAAGCCTTTTTCGGGCGTCTTTTGGGCTGAGCTGCCATGTTGGCCCCCCCAGTACAAGGCTCCCGGGATTTGACTCTCCATAGCGATGCCTTGTTGTATGTGTCCACAGCCCACACACTGCACTGATCCCTGACTTTGCGTTTTTGTTATGGACCTTCTTCCATGACATGGAGTGTCTGGGGGGGGTCATCCGACAGCCTGTGCGGAGCCTCTTGGTAAATATCCCACAGCCCAAAGGACATTCGATGCTCTCGTCCCCGGTTTGACCTAATACCCCCCCCCCCCGCCACCTCAGACTAGCTCAATCCACCCACTGGAGGTACAGACCAGCTTGAGTACTGCCCAGTCTTCTGTCACTGTGGCTTTGCCCCCCCCCACCTGAACAGTACTCTTGGTTAAAATTTAGTTGGTCATTTACCAACACAGTCAACTAATATTACTGCTGTAAATGCCATTCTCTCCGATTCACACACTGTCAAGCACCGTCCAGGGACAGAAAAAAAAAAAAAAAGCACTTTTCCAACAGAGTATTAGATCGATGGTGTTCATAGCCTTGGTTTTTACTGAGCTAGTATCGGGAAAAATTCATTGTGGAGTCTTAAAGCACTTATGTAAGTCGCTCTGGCTAAGGGCGTCTGCCAAATGCTGTAAATGTAAATGTAAATGTAAATGAGTAGGTCACGTTGACCGGAGAAACCAAAAAATGGGGGGAACCAGGTCATTTTGATGTACACGGCCACTCCACAAACTTGCACTGTTTGTCCCGTTCTCTCGTGTTATCTCCTGGGACCGTTTTGTGTTCACCTGGGGGAAGGTCAATCTCTGTGAGCTGTTTAATGCATACAGCCACTGAAACGAAGACCGAGACCAAAAAAAAAAAGAAAAAAAAACACTTTGTTTTGCTGAGGAACAACCTTCAGGGCCCAGGGAAACACAGTTAGAGGTTATTACTTTCATTAACCGTGATGGCTTCTCTGCCTTCACTTGATGTACTCCCCTTTTTTCTGTAATCAAATTACGGAGACAGCAGAACAAGTGCAAAGCCAGGGCCAGCTGGCTACCCACAATGCTTTAGTACAGGGTTGCCAACTTAGGTCAGCTTGGTTGGAGTGAGATTTTCAATTCAAGGCAAGAATGCACACACATGCATTTATCTGTATGTACGAGTTTTATTTCCTTCTAAACAGCCTGTAGGGATTGCAACCTGCCCCATGCTTTTGATGTAGCTAATTTAGGTTTGTAATAGAATAATATAGATTTGCCATAAGATTTCTTGTGTGAGTATGAGAGTCTGAACATGTGAGGGTCATACCAGATGCGTGAGAATTGCCAACCCTGGCTTTAGTGCCACTTTACCCACAGTACCAAACTGAGGCCTCTTAGTATCTGATTACCCACAATGCTTCACTGCCACTTTGCCCACAGTGCCAAACTGAGGCCTCTTAGTATCTTATCACCCACAATGCTTCACTGCCACTTTGCCCACAGTGCCAAACTGAGGCCTCTTAGTATATGATTACCCACAATGCTTCACCGCCACTTTGCCCACAGTGCCAATCTGAGACCTCTTAGTATCTGATTACCCACAATGCTTCACCGCCACTTTGCCCACAGTACCAAACTGAGGCCTCTGAGTTGCTGATTACCCACAATGCTTCACTGCCACTTTGCCCACAGTACCAAACTGAGGCCTGAGTAGCTGGTTACCCACAATGCATTACTGCTGATTTGTCCACAATACCCACTGTAAATACCTTTAAGGAAGCACATAGTAGTTATGTTCAGAACACTCCATTCATCATAGCCATGTCCTTTAGTGCTTACAGTGACTGTTGTGACAATGATGACCAAACTCAATGGCAACGGTGATGAGAGCAACAGCCACCACTTACCAGGGGCTCGGCCATGACAATGCGGATCTTGCGCTCCGACAGCGTGGTGAAGTTGGCAAACAGGCTTTTGAGGACGTACTCGCCCGGCCGGCTCTCGGGATCCACACTTAAGGCCGTCATGGCTGGCGGGCCCCTGCGGTCCACCTGGGCGCTGCTCGCTGGGGGGATAGGGGGCTTGTTGTATCGGTTTCCAGTCGGCGAAGCTAGGAGACACCCAAACACACATGCAGTTAGATGACACCCAATCAAATACTGTATATAACTGCTAAGCATTATTTGTCTGCCATTCAAGACACTGTGAATGATCTCAGCTTTAACATATAACATCAATCACGTGTCCCCCTGCTATATCTGCATATTGTTTTTTATGATGATGAGATTGAGTATGATCTGTGAGACCTAGCCATGTAGGGAGCAGACAGTCCACATTTTTCCTACCGGAAGCAAAAGTGTGGACTGTCTAGTCAGAAGGTGTGAAGAAGCTTGGAGTCCACGAGAACCAGGTTAAGAAACACGGATCTAGATTGTTTGGGGCTCAGTCTCACAGCTCTTTGAGTGTAAAGCTTAGTTGTAAACTTTCTGTTCACATAAGCCTAAACCTAAACGAAGAGCAAATTTCCAAAGCTCACTCAGTCCATTTTTTGTTGTCTTTCAGATGAGGCCGCCAGTGACCTAAAGCCAGGCTTCCTCATCACATGTTACAGTGCTGGGAACCAAAACTCACTTACATTCCCAGAACTCCAAAAGTCCACAGAAATCTTCCTGAAAACATATTTGGTGGGACTAAGTGACTTTTGGAAATTTGCTCTTCAAATTATAATCGAATGAGAGGGCAGGCCAGCCCAGCCCTGCAGAACACAGCATGAAAGACCTTGGGATTATCTGCTCATATTCCCAGCTGGATATCAGACCGTCTGCCCGAATGCTTCCAATAATTACGTCCATCAAGAGGGACTTTTAGAGTGAATCTCTGCTCCTCTACGCCCCCTCCAGATGATCAGCCCTGGCTGAGCTAAACACGCCCCGGCCCACAGCTGCTGTTTTCATTTCCCTGATGAGGAATCGTTGTCCTTACATGGGGCTGGGGGAGGGGGCTTTGGGTGGGGGGGGGGGGGAGAAATATCCCACTTGTGACCAGAGCCGTTAAATCTTTACGCCATTGCATTCTTGCTGTGTCAGATTACTCTCCCAATCGTATAGCGTCCTTGTGTGTAGTAGTCAACAGCAAATGGAACATGTCTGAAGAAATGGGAGTCCAAACAGCTCAACGCACATAAATAGAATCAGCAGACTGGATCTGCAGAACACATGCAACCTACCGCCTGATCATACCATCGTTGAATTGGACTGGCGGAACACGCCTACTAATGCCTACCATACAATCAGGGGGTCGGTATGTGACGTACCAGGCCACCAAAGAAATCGAGAAGAGGGTGTGAACTGTTCACGACCGGATAGGGGGGGTGGAGAACCTGCCTTAATCTATGATGTGACGATGCTCTGATGAATATGGCTATTTCTTCTCATAGCAACCGTATCTTTGTCACATTCATTGTCAATAAGTGGCAAAAATGACCCTGAACCAGTAAGAAAACAGAAAGTATGCATGAGCCAATCATTTAGAAGAATCAAAGTCAATGGTAGGTTCTTCTATTACTTAAAAGGTGAAAGACCACAGACCGAAATTCCAGCATCCACAAACCATCCAGACCTCAGCAGACAAGTTCACAGATGGCCACTGAGTGCTGATGCTGGTCAGTAATGGACTGGGCAAAATCACTGCTTCCTGCATGATTTTACAAGCTAATGGCTTCACCAGGAATTATGTCAATTAGAATCATTTAAAGGCCTCTATGTTTAAAATATATTGACTAGGATTTTAGACATAATGTAGGAAAAGCACACGGAACCTGAAAGCAGTAATAAAATATAAAACATATAAAAAATGCAAAATAAAGCATAACATATAACCAACCAAGAATAAGGCTATAACTAAGTCCCAAAATAAAATATATTGTTTCATATTTCATTTTCAGTTTGTCAGAACCTTCCACCCCCATATCTCTCGGGGGAAGGTACATCCCAAGCTGAGAATCTCTTTTCCATCACAAAATTAAACATTATCCTCAGCAAAAGCACAAGTTCTCCACATGACACATGCGCACAAGCTTGTGAATCAGTATACCAGTCCTGTCTGCATATAAACTTTGATAACAAAATGGGTTATTATGCATATGAACTCATTCAAACATAACATTTTTCCTAACCAGCTGGGGACGCCATATATTAGCATACATCAGCCTCCGCACACACACGCGCCGTACTCACAAGCATGGATACTCGTGCGCTCGTGCATCTACATACTCAGATATTATAATCCCCACCTGCACCCACATCCAGGACCCCCACTCCTCCCTACACATACATATGCTCACGTACCCAGACACTTGATGAAGCTGATGACACTGAGTCTGCTCAAGCAAACCTGTGACACCTCCATGGTGGCTCTGTCAGCGACTCCGCACGCAGGGGAAGGACGTCACGCAGCCCCCGGGCTAATCCACAGCTGGGCCCCCTCGCAGGATCCCTGCCCCGCACCCGGCCATGCTCTCCCAGGCCTGTGCGGACGTTCACACCGCTCCAGCTTTCTCCTGCTTTGTGACAGCGAGGGTCGTGAAGGGCCGTTTGCAGGCAGGGCCAGAGACGAGGGAGGTCCCGCACGCGGCTATATTTATCCTCTGGGGCGCACACTGCAGCCAGGACCCAGTGCACGCCCACACACACATACACGCGCACACACACACACATACACACGCACGCCCACACACACACACACACATACACGCGCACGCCCACACACACACACACGCGCACACACACACACATACACACGCATGCCCACACACACACATTTCTTTACCTATCACGGTGTGTATCACACTCACTGACACTTAATTAAACATATTATTTCAAGCTTCACACCAAGGAAACTCAATATGGAACAACATATGACAGCAGGTGATGAACAAAATGTTTCAGCACTTTAAGACTTTAAAAAGCTGCCTAGCTTCAAAACAAACAGGCTTCCTTCCTTGTAGGGACAAACCCCATGAAAATATGAACGTGTTCTTCAGGATTTATTTTCCTTATTTACCTGGCTGCCCCCCCCTCCAGGCAAATACTGTATAACAGGACAGTGTGTCCCACCTCCTCTGCCAGAGAGAGTGTCAGGCTATATGTGATTCCCCTCAATGTTTTCACAGGTCTTGCTACTGCTGATCCCGACTGCACACATGAACCCCTGCCTGTTTTAATTTGCCATGCTTGAGTGAACCTTTAACTGCTGACCTCTCCGACTGTGACCCTCACCAGACCCGTTGCACATTATCATTCCACAGAAATAGTGTTTCTTTTGTTTTAAATACCGGTTAGGGTCTCGCTCGTGTGCGTATTCCTGGCTATACACTGCTGCCCCAAAGCTGAGATGCTCAAAATTCCAGCGCTAAAGTCGGACGAGGCTATAAACCCTCACTGAGTGTCTCCTGGAGGTGCGAGACGGCCCCCCCTCATGGTCATTTAATCACTGAAGGGTTTCAGTGTAGTATGCTTCAAAAAGAGTGAGGGCAGGCGTGAAAAGGCCGGCGCACTGTAACTGTACGTGAAGGGTGACTCTGAGCAGCCTCAGCACCAATGACAACAGTCCCAGCCCAATTAAGCCCGTCTGATTGGCTGGCAACCTGACAAGGAAGGGATATGACAGCATGGACCACAATTGTTGTATATCCACGTAAAAGCATGTCTGCCACTCCCACGTCCCCTATGTTCAGGTCACCACTCTGGGCCNCAATTGTTGTATATCCACGTAAAAGCATGTCTGCCCCCCCCACGTCCCCTATGTTCAGGTCACCACTCTGGGCCAGAACAGCTGACATACTCCATGGTGCTCGGGTTCATGGGGATGAAGGGTCAGACGGACCACCTATGGATACACGACTGAGATCCTTAATTGCTCGTGGGTCAGTTTATTGCATGTGATCGTTAACAAGAACGAAGAGGTACAACTGATCAGCTAACATCCAAAACTCACTCAGTCCACAGGATATGTTTTCAAGGAAATTGATAACCAACTGGGAATATGAGCACATAAGTCAAAGGTCTCAGCACGCAGAGTCCAGTCCTGCAGGGTTAGACTGACGTGGACTTCATTTCATAATGTTCTAAACAGCAAATTTCCAAAACACACCCAGTCCACAGGATACATTTTTGAGAAAATTCCCGTAGACTTAGTGAGATTTGGATATATAATTTTTGTCGGATTACATGAGGACAGAGTGCATTTTGCCCCCTGATACTGTAACACATGACGAGGAAGCTTGAGGACGGAATGCGTTTTGCCCCCCGATACTGTAACACATGACGAGGAAGCTTGAGGACGGAATGCGTTTTGGCCCTGATACTGTAACACATGAGGAGGAAGCTTGAGGACGGAGTGCATTTTGGCCCCCGATACTGTAACACATGACGAGGAAGCTTGAGGACGGAATGCGTTTTGCCCCCCGATACTGTAACACATGACGAGGAAGCCTGAGGACGGAGTGCGTTTCGGCCCCCGATACTGTAACACATGACGAGGAAGCCTGAGGACGGAGTGCGTTTTGGCCCCCGATACTGTAACACATGGCGAGGAAGCCTGAGGACGGAGTGCGTTTTGGCCCCCGATACTGTAACACATGGCGAGGAAGCCTGAGGACGGAGTGCGTTTTGGCCCCC